TTTTCTTTTTATCAATATTGTGTTTATTGTTTTTCAGTGTTTGGAAACACCTCAAAGGTCTCAATATGATGGAGGAATAGTCGTAAACCCGGAGTTCAACGAGGGTTTAAAGGGTTGGACACAATTTGGAGACATAAATATAAAGCATCGACAATCTGACGATGGCAACAAATACATTGTTGCTTCTAAAAGAAATCAATCTTTCCATAGTTTGTCACAAACCTTCGTTCTCGAAAACGAAAAACTCTACACTTTCTCGGGTAATTATTCTATTTTTTTTTTGGGACTTCAAGAACTCTAAATAACAATAAGATATATAATTTGTAAAAGTAAATTTTTTTTTTTTTAATTTTTGAATTGGAGAAAAAATTAGAAAAAGTTTGAACATCTATGTTCCATGCTACTAATAACGGTTCATGATATTTTGTGAATTGATTTATTGTTACAGCTTGGTTACAAGTAAGCCACGGACAAGCTGACATAGCAGCAATTTTCAAGACCAACACGAGCTATGTTACAGCCGGATGGGTCACGGCCCAAAAGGGTTGTTGGTCCTTCTTGAAGGGTGGCTTAACAGTCAATGCTTCCGGCCCAGCCCAACTCTATTTTGAGGTTGCCTATTTGTTCTCTTATTTTTTTTTTCTATTCATCTAATTTATCTTTTTTCAGTTTCTATGAATAGTTTTTGGAATAGTATAAAATAACAGGAAATTCTACGATCCTGTTACGGAATTCCGTCGGAGTTTTTAACCGTTAGATCATCATGTAACCGTGGGATAGTTAATCTAACAGTTACAAAAACTCTGACAGAATGGTTCTGTAACGGGACCGTAACATTTCCTTAAAGTAACATAATATATGAAGAATCTATACCTATTATAAGCATAATACAAATCGCATTTACTTAATTGTATGTACTTTATTTGATTTGTGCAAATATTTGATTCTGATTATATTTGGTGGATTAATGAAATTCTTAAGTAAGATTATAAATCATTTGCTAAAATGTACTCAATTATTTCAATTTTATTGTCAGAGCCAAAATTCAAGAGTTGATATTTGGGCAGACAGCATCTCATTGCAGCCATTTACTCAAGAAGAGTGGGCATCTCACCAGCAAGAAAGCATTGAAAAGGTGAAAACAATAATATTTTCCCAAATAAATTATGAAGCATTAAGTTTCCCTTAATATAATGATTTAGTCTTATTAAAATATAACAAATATAACTAAATATTTGTATGTTCAATTCAGTCCTTAAATTATATTAATTGAGAGTACCAAGGTTGTTAACAAATTGAACTTTTGCGAACAAAAGTTCATTGATAATCGAGCCAAGTTTTAAAAAAAGATTAGGCTCGAAACGAATTTGAACTTTGACGAACAACTAAACCAAACCAAAGAGCTGGAATATAATTTTTTACCTGAAAAATGAACGAACAAACAACGACGAGACTTGTTCGATTACATCAATAAACCTTCCTAAATATTTGACATTTGCAGGCACGCAAAGGAAGGAGCAAAATGCAGGCGGTGGACCAGCACGGGCGACCCCTCCCGAACGCCACCGTGTCCATAGAGCAGATCCGCGGCGTATTCCCCCTTGGCGCCGCCATCAACAAGAACATCCTCGGCAACTCCGCCTACCAGGGCTGGTTCTTCTCCCGCTTCAAGCACACCGTCTTCGAAAACGAGCTCAAATGGTACGCCAACGAGCCTTCCCGGGGCTCCGAGGACTACTCCGCCGCCGATGCCCTCGTCCGCCTGGCCAAGTCGCGCGGCGTCGCCATCCGCGGCCACAACGTCTTCTGGGCCGACCCCAGGTACCAGCCGGGCTGGGTCGGCGGTCTCTCTCCGGCCGACCTCCGCGCCGCCGCCACCAAGAGGATAAATTCGGTGGTGGGCCGGTACAGGGGGCAGCTCATCCACTGGGACGTCGTGAACGAGAATCTGCACTTTAACTATTTCGAGAGCAAATTGGGAAATCAGGCTTCTCGGCAGCTATATTCGACGGCGAACAGGATCGACGGCCGGGCGACGCCGTTTCTGAACGATTACAATACGATTGAGGACGGCCGTGACGGGGCTTCGTCGCCGGCCAAATATTTGGGGAAGATTAGGGAGTTCAGGGCCCAGGGCTATAATGGGCCGCTAGGTATTGGGCTGGAGGGCCACTTCTCGAATGCCAATCTACCTTACATTAGGTCTGCTATTGATACGCTCGCGTCCGCCAGGCTCCCCATTTGGGTTACCGAGTTGGACGTTACGTCTGGGCCTAACCAGGCATCGTATTTGGACCAAATTCTGCGTGAGATTCATTCACACCCGGCCGTGCAAGGCATACTACTTTGGGTGGCCTGGAGTCCACAGGGATGCTACAGAATGTGCCTCACAGACAATAATTTCCGAAACTTAGCAACCGGTAACGTTGTCGACAAGTTCAGAGGTCTATTGGCCCATGCCGATTATCTCCCCGAAACTACTGATTCTGAGGGATTTTACGAGGGCTCGTTTTATCACGGCGAATACAAAGTGACAATCAGCCACCCAAACGGCGAACAAGTTTCCGATTCTCGGCTTATTAATGTTGCGCCGCAAGCCCAAGCCGGAGACGTTCATCGTATCACAATCAACGTTTAAAAATTAGTGTTCGTTATGTTGGAATGGATTTGAATCATTCACATAGGAATTTCAATATTTCATACTTCACCCACCTATTGTAGTATTTGTTTCCTAATTAATAATAATAATATACATATATGATATTGCATTTTACCCCTATTCCAGAACTAAATTTACCAAATTCACGAATGATGTTGAAAATGAAACATGGTGCTCATGATTCACGATTCAACTTCTTATTTAATTATTTACTGTACTTCCAAAAAGTGTCAAGTTTGTTTAAGTTGTCACAAAATAAAAAAACAAAAAAAAAAAAAAAAAAAAAAAAAAAAAAAAAAAAAAAAAAAAAAACAAACAAAACCAATTGCAGCCTTCAAATGTTGGATATTACTATTACATACCAGCGGTACCCGTGCGATGCACGGACTAACTTTATAAAAAATAAACATTTAAAATTGAATGATTGGAAGAACCTAAAAAGCATGTATTCGAAAAAAATAAAATGTAACTTATATATTATTAAACACATCCTTGTACACGACATTATTTGTTTGGTCTTTTGGTACATCATCCGTTGCCAAAAATTATATTAGAATTCTAGATAAGCGTAAATAAATCAATTAAATTATTTAGCAGAATATATATGATATGGTTTATACTGGTTTTATGAGGATCGTATAGTCAAATGTATTTTATAGCCTTGTTATTTTAAAATTGTAAATTACTTAATTTAAGAAAGAAAAAAAATGTGTACGTGTATGCAATCAATTTCAAATATGTATCTCTAGAGGAGTAAACAAAACCAAAATTTTAGAATGTTCCAATGTGATTTCATTTTGAATTTTAAATTAATATTATTTGACTGTGTTTTATGTCTAAGAAAAATTTGAACTAAATAAAGTAGTTGCTAAATGATAAGAGATTGTTAAATTTTAATTTCAATTTTGAAATTAGGCTCGATTTCTATGCAATCCGATTCAATTTTTAATAAACATGATCTGTTGCAATTAGGTAAGATACATGTTCTAGTATTTTGCCTAATTCCATATTCCTGATTTTATGGTGAATAGTTTATTTTTTTAATAAAAAATGAAAGAATTTAGACTTTTACAAAATTTTCATGTCAAATTTTACCTAAATTAACTCGATTTCTATGCAATCCAATTTTTTAATAAAAAATTGATATGTTGCAATTAGGAAAAGGTATATGTGATAGTCTTTCGCCTAATTCGAAATTATCGATTTTATGGTAATTAATTTTTTTAATAAAAAAGAGAAAGAATTTTGACTTTTGCAAAATAAATAAAAAAAATGAACATAGCAAAACTTTATCAAAGAAGAAATAAAAAATAAAAATAAAGCAATCTTAAAATAAAGTAACTATAAGAAAATATAATTAAAATAAAATAAAATAAAAATTAAATGGACTAAATTAAATTTGTAACATTAAGTATGATATACTTTCAAATCAAAATAATTTGGTAAATATTTTTACCATTATTGGATTAAGAACAGATATACCTTTTTTAATTAATGGATTAGCAAATTATAATTTAATATGATTAAATATCCTCATTTTTCTGAAACAAGCTTTATATGTATTATATGCTTATCTCTGAAGAGAATAATTTCTTTGGAGACTTATATTTTTAAATATCTTTTTATTTAATAAGTAACTATCTTTTAATTATTGTTCATGGATATGTCTTATCACTTGTAGATTTTTTACTCAATAAACTATTTGCATACAAATATTTTAAATAAATTATATTTTTAATTAATGTTTTGCAACTAAAAGATATTTATCCCTCTTTTTATGAATTAAAAATATAACCACATAATTATTAATTGACGAAATAATTATATTGAGAGGTTTGTAGTTGTCTCCAAAGTTCGGTCGACAATGGACATTTTTGAATCTCTGGACCAAACTGACCCGTGTAGCCTAGGGTTGAGCATGGGACTCGGAGAATTCTGAACCGTTCCGAACCCCGAACTGAAATCACTCCGAATCAAAAAATAACCGTTGACCGTTTGACTTTCTCCGAATCGAACCGAACTGAAAAAAATAATTGGTACGTTTCTGGAGATTTCACAAATATTCGTACTGAGAACCGAACCGAACCGTTCCGTACCGTACCGAACCGAAGAACAGAAATTAAGAACCGAATTATAACATTTCAGCTCGAAGTACTACTAAGCTCAGGCTCGGGAGGATTCCTTCGTCTAGTTATTAGATGTGTTATTAATATATTTTATGTCAACTTTGATTCTATATAATATAGTAATAAATATTAACCTTCACTTAAATGTCATACTTAGTAATACTTGATCTACAATTGAATTTTTTCTATTATAAAATAGTTATTTAAAATAATATGAAAGTTTAAAGAATATTTTTTCAAGAACAAAAATATTATATTTTATTTGAATTTTAATTTTTCAATATTAGTTGCACAAATTTAGTTATAACTAAAATTTGGAGTTACTTATAAAGTTGATTTCAAAATAAAATTCTTAATGTGAGGAAGTACTGATGAATGTTGGTTTTATTAAAGCATATAAAAATAAATAACTAAAATTTAGAGTTACTTCTAGAATTATTTTCAAAATAAAATCTTCAATTTGATGAATTATTGATGAATGTTGTTTTTTTAACATATTGAAGATTGTTGTTTTTTTTAAAGCATATAAAAATTAAAATATAACTAGGTAGTCATTCAAAAATAATTTAAGAAAAAAAAATCTCTGAAAAACGAACCAAACCATACCGAACCGAACCGCCCCAATAATCCTGAATACCGAACTGAACCGAAAAATAAAAATCTCTGAACCGAACCGAACCGACTTTTTGGTACGGTTCCGGAGATCGAATTTTTGGATCTCTGAAGTTTGGTAAGATTTTGGAGATTTATCAATCTCCGAACCGTACAGACCCACGCTCACCCCTAGTGTAGGCGTGCTCAACCCTAGTGTTAATCAAAGAGGTTAATTTTATTCGATTCTAGTTACGGTGCCTACAAAATATGCTGGGATTCGGACCGATCACTTACTACTTTTGTCAAGTAGGACAGGCCATGGCAAATGAGGGCGGGACAACATTTAATACTTGAACCTGCCTTGTTGATACAACAGGCGGACCCAATATGGCACGTTCATGCCAAGCCTGGACCAAACTGCATTGTAGCTACCCCAATTAAATTAAAGGGGGTGTATTCATATAGGATTCTTAGAGACCTTTAAGACTTTTTTAAATGGATAACTTTTGTGGACTTTATGCAACTTTTAATGACTTTTGTACATTTTTTGAGATTGTTATGAAAACTTTTTAAGACTTTCAATATGAACTTTTTAGGACTTTCTAATATTTTTATATAATTCTTAAATAATAATTAAATTTATATGAAAGACTCATAAAAAGTTACGTGCATAATAACTAACATCAATAAAGTCAAATTAGTATATAAAATAATTATAATATTAATTTAAAGTGTGTTATGATATTAAACACCATCTATTGAGCTAGAATGAAGACAAAAGAAAAAAAAAATAACAAACAAACTCGATAAGGAAAAAAGCATGAAAAAATTTCAACTGTCATAACCTTTTCTTCTATTTGTCTCACTTTCTTCTATTTTATCTTTGTTTGATTTAGTTGTATAGTTTCTGGAGATTGCATGCTCTTTTTGAATTGAACATGTGATCATGGTGCATGCCTGAAAATTGATGACAAAAATATGCTTTGTCATTTTCCCAAATATTGGATACATATATTTTCCCAAATAAAGTAGATGCATGCTCTTTCTGAATTGAACATGAGAGCCGTGAGTATGCCCAAAAATTTGTTTCGATTCTGGTTACGGTGCCTACCAAATATGCTGGGATCCGGACCATCACTTACTACCTTTGTCAAGTAGGACTGGCCATGGCAGGTCAGGGCGGAGCAACACTTAGGGGGCGATTGGATATCAACTAGAAGGAGATTTTATTAGTTTTTAACTAGAAAAGTAGTATCACTTTATCAGATTTTACTAGTTTTTTTATCAGATTTGTATTCAACATTATGTGGGCTCACGTCCAACTCCCATGTCTTTTCTGCAACTACAGAAAAATTGTCGGCCAATACTTCTGCAACTCCCATGTCACTTTACTACTTGAAAGCCTCGATAGAATTAAAAAAAAAAAAAAGTTGAAGGAAACTATTTTTTAAATCATGTTGAAATCCACTTCCCATGCAGGTACAGAAACTTTTCCAAATCATGCACTACATTGACACCCACCATAATTTATTGCCATGTGTTTGTATATCAATTATAAGAATACTTGTTATGTTCATATCAATTATAAACATACCTTCATTTGCCAACAAAAGTAAAAAAAATAAATAAATAAAAAAACGAAGATACATGCCCTACTTATACCATTGCACTACACAATTATACTAATGCAGATGAATATTGACATTAATTAATCAAAATAGGAGACCATTCATAAATTTCATCCACGGCTACAACAAGTGAATAGACACCATTACATAGGTTTGGTACACCACAAAATACTCCCTCAACACAAAGTGAGGTATATCAACCTAACCTCCAAACATAAATTACATAAATTCAACCTCAAAACGAACACAAACATAAGGAATCAATGTGAAGCACCATGTAGAACCTTCGGCCATTTCAGTGTCATCAACAAACTCCCGAGCATCCCAATTCTGCATCAACACTTTTCCATGCCCTTCAACAATTTGTAATTCATATGTGCTATCTTCACAGTCCAAAATAACTCTACTCTTGTCAGTAGGCACGTTTTGAATATAAGATCGCCAAAAACTTATTGGAATAGGCTGCAATATCGGGTACTTGTAATTATGTAGGCGCGTGAAAATGAATAAAAAAACATAAACTTAACCAATATTATATTATACAAAATTACCAAACGAGCACGTTCCACATGTGTTTTTGTTATCTACATTGTAAAACGGTGTTGAAGCTCCCGTTCAATCTGATTATCGG